AGAGCACCGGCGGCCCCCAGGACAGAGCACCGGCGGCCCCCAGGACAGAGCACCGGCGGCCCCCAGGACAGAGCACCGGCGGCCCCCAGGACAGAGCAGTCGTCCAGACGTCCGCTCGTCGTCATGGATGACCCACGAGTGCCTCTGTGGGATCCGTATTGCTTGAAACATTTGTTTGTAGGTGTATATTTTCCATTGATTTTCAACGGATAATATGGCCCTGCGCTCTACCACCCCGTCCCCACCACCACGCCCTCCCTTAACTACATCCCACACCACCACGACGTCCCCTCAACCTCTTCGACGCCGGGTCCCCACCCCCCTTCTCCTTGACACCGGGTCCCCGCCCCCCCTTCTCCTTGACGCCGGTTCCCCACCCCCCTTCGTGACGCCGGGTCCCCACCCCCCTTCGTGACGTCGGGTCCCCACCCCAGTTCTCCGTGACGCCGGGTCCCCGCCCCCCTTCTCCTTGACGCCGGGTCCCCGCCCCCTTCTCCGTGACGCCGGTCCCCGCCCCCCTTCTCCTTGACACCGGGTCCCCGCCCCCCTTCTCCGTGACGCCGGGTCCCCGCCCCCCTTCTCCGTGACGCCGGGTCCCCGCCCCCCTTCTCCTTGACGCCGGGTCCCCGCCCCCCTTCTCCGAGACGCCGGGTCCCCGCCCCATGTCGCCCAAACATCGGGTCGTAACCCCTCGTCGCCGTGATACCCCTACAACACAACACAACACATTCGTCCCGCCAACACGTTACGGCGTGAGACACGAACCTATAAACATTACTTATGAAAGGCAGTATATGTGCGTGACCTAATATTTAGTGTTAATTGTGGCCACACGCACCGGCCTGGTCCACCAATCTCTCTCCCACCTTTTTTTTTTTTTTGTAGTGTTGACTTCGAACGAACACACACTTTGGACTCTTAAATGTTAATCCCGTGTGATCCAACACACCCTGGGTCACATTGAGCTGATCCAGGGTGACTGAATCTCATCTTGGGTCATTTTGAGTTGACCCAGAGTGACTGAACACATCTTGGGGGCATATTAAGTTGGCACAGAGTGATAGAACGTACTCTGGGTCGTGTTGGGGGGAGGAAGGAGGTTAGGAATAGTTGACCCCATCTACCCAAAATCTCTTCCTACCACAGGTAACACGGGTATCGGGTCTGGGACCCACACCTGCCCACACTCCAGTAAATATATGCAGGTTTGTATGCCTTAAATGTGAGATGAATAAATGAGGAACATAAAAAGTGGTAACTTGTAATAGTTAACAAAAAAACGATATATGTTTACTAGCTTAATATAGGACAAAGATAAAAGGAAATAATCATTTAGAATTCGATGGAGTATAACTGTTCTGAGAATGAGAGTGAAATCAAACAAGTACGACTGATAATGAATAAAAGTGTATGGGGCAGCGACTATATGTAGTGTAAAGTGCTTGTGTGTTTGTGTGTTTGCGTGTTTGTGTGTTTGCGTGTTTGCGTGTTTGTGTGTTTGTGTGTTTGTGTGTTTGCGTGTTTGTGTGTTTGTGTGTTTGCGTGTTTGTGTGTTTGTGTGTTTGTGTGTTTGCGTGTTTGTGTGTTTGTGTGTTTGTGTGTTTGCGTGTTTGTGTGTTTGTGTGTTTGCGTGTTTGTGTGTTTGTGTGTTTGTGTGTTTGCGTGTTTTGTGTGTTTGTGTGTTTGCGTGTTTGCGTGTTTGTGTGTTTGTGTGTTTGCGTGTTTGCGTGTTTGCGTGTTTGTGTGTTTGCGTGTTTGTGTGTTTGTGTGTTTGCGTGTTTGTGTGTTTGTGTGTTTGCGTGTTTGTGTGTTTGTGTGTTTGCGTGTTTGCGTGTTTGTGTGTTTGCGTGTTTGCGTGTTTGTGTGTTTGTGTGTTTTGCGTGTTTGTGTGTGTTTGTGTGTTTGCGTGTTTTGTGTGTTTGTGTGTTTTGTGTGTTTGCGTGTTTGCGTGTTTGTGTGTTTGTGTGTTTGCGTGTTTGTGTGTTTGTGTGTTTGCGTGTTTGTGTGTTTGTGTGTTTGCGTGTTTGCGTGTTTGTGTGTTTGCGTGTTTGTGTGTTTGTGTGTTTGCGTGTTTGCGTGTTTGTGTGTTTGTGTGTTTGCGTGTTTGTGTGTTTGTGTGTTTGCGTGTTTGCGTGTTTGTGTGTTTGTGTGTTTGTGTGTTTGTGTGTTTGTGTGTTTGCGTGTTTGCGTGTTTGTGTGTTTGTGTGTTTGTGTGTTTGCGTGTTTGTGTGTTTGCGTGTTTGTGTGTTTGCGTGTTTGTGTGTTTGTGTGTTTGTGTGTTTGTGTGTTTGTGTGTTTGTGTGTTTGCGTGTTTGCGTGTTTGTGTGTTTGCGTGTTTGTGTGTTTGTGTGTTTGCGTGTTTGTGTGTTTGTGTGTTTGCGTGTTTGTGTGTTTGTGTGTTTGTGTGTTTGCGTGTTTGCGTGTTTGTGTGTTTGTGTGTTTGCGTGTTTGTGTGTTTGTGTGTTTGCGTGTTTGCGTGTTTGTGTGTTTGTGTGTTTGTGTGTTTGTGTGTTTGCGTGTTTGTGTGTTTGCGTGTTTGTGTGTTTGTGTGTGTTTGTGTGTTTGCGTGTTTGTGTGTTTGCGTGTTTGTGTGTTTGTGTGTTTGTGTGTTTGTGTGTTTGTGTGTTTGTGTGTTTGTGTGTTTGTGTGTTTGTGTGTTTGTGTGTTTGTGTGTTTGTGTGTTTGTGTGTTTGTGTGTTTGTGTGTTTGTGTGTTTGTGTGTTTGTGTGTTTGTGTGTTTGTGTGTTTGTGTGTTTGTGTGTTTGCGTGTTTGCGTGTTTGTGTGTTTGCGTGTTTGTGTGTTTGTGTGTTTGCGTGTTTGTGTGTTTGTGTGTTTGCGTGTTTGTGTGTTTGTGTGTTTTGTGTGTTTGCGTGTTTGTGTGTTTGCGTGTTTGTGTGTTTGTGTGTTTGTGTGTTTGCGTGTTTGTGTGTTTGCGTGTTTGTGTGTTTGTGTGTTTGTGTGTTTGCGTGTTTGTGTGTTTGCGTGTTTGTGTGTTTGTGTGTTTGTGTGTTTGCGTGTTTGCGTGTTTGCGTGTTTGTGTGTTTGTGTGTTTGCGTGTTTGTGTGGGGGAAATTTACATTGGAAGGCGTAAGCGTTGTTGTTGTCTTGCTATACGCTCAGACCAAAATTTGTATTTTTATTTAAGTATTTTTAAAAACTAAGTTTTTAAAAAATTAAGTTTTTATTTAAAACTAGAAGGAGATGGTAACCTGAGTTAAGGGAACAATTATAATGGGTGAGCTGAGACTCCGGGAACGACATAATGGGTGTTAATGGCATCTCAGGACAAAAAAATTACGGAATAGTTGAAAGACTAAGAATTATAATTGAGAGTTAGGTGTTAAGAGTTTCAACTTTAACTTTATGTTTAAGAGTTAAACATAACTCTTAAAGTTATGTTTAACTAATACATATTTTAAGTATAAGAATATATATAAATATACATTACAGCCCCCTATTGGTGAAGTGGTAACAAACTCACCCCGCGCCTCGCGAGCAATTTAGTCTGGGTTCGATTCCTGGCCAGGGAAGATTGCCGGGGCTCCCAATCTATGACTATTCACCTCTATTCACCCAGCAGTATTTGGGTGCCTGGTAGTTGCCTAGTGTTTCAGGAAAAACTAGTAGGGAAAGCCTTACCCTACTAGTAAGGTAAGCTATGGGAAGGGAAAGTCTTACCCTACTAGTAAGGTAAGCTATGGGAAGGGAAAGTCTTACCCTACTAGTAAGGTAAGCTATAGGAAGGGAAAGCTGTGAGCCTACTAACAGGAACCAGAAGTCGTCCGCTCCTGGAGCCACCTGTTACAACGATAAAACAAAACAGGTACAAGGTAAATTATGACAATGTTCTGAAAGAATATTGTTGATTATACGTTTGCTGAGAGAAGTATACTTCAGCAGGTGTGTGTTATACTTGAGTGTGGAGGGGAATATATGGTTTTGGTCTGACCACATATCAGTACTGTGTATGATAAGATATAGTAGTGAACGTGTGAGCATACCATGGGGTGCATAATAAATGGACTAAACTAAAAACTACCTCCCGTGAATCCAAAGGTTATGAAGAATACAAGTTGAGTGACAAGTGCTAGATGAGTATAAGAGTTGATAGTGATCTTGGTGAAAGAGATCAGTAGACATCCATCAGTCTCAGAAGACTATGGAGTTGCGCTCCAGTTGTGGGTCTGGAGTGGTCTCTCCAGGGCGCAAAGCCAGGGTAAAGGTTGATACGGGGGAGAAGCTGTCACCCAAGCAGCAGGTCCCCCTTTCCACTCTGCACATTATTTGTTCATAATCTCCACGGAGATTTTGAACCAATAAATCATACAGCCCCCCTCCCCCCCCCCTTCCCAGTGGTCACAATATCCACGAGTGGTGTTGGTTCGACTTTTAATCAATACTTAATCAACGTAAACGACGTTGCTTCAACATTGAATGGGTGTTGATGTTGGGGCTACGCCCGCTGGTATTCCATGTATACATGTTTGTTTAAGAGTGTCAAGGACGTGTGTGGCGGGACGTCCACAAGCTGGTTGAACAGTGACAGCAACTGTCTGACGGAATAAAGCGGTGACAAGAGAACGTGATAAGAAAAATAAGGGTTTTATGAATACCAATTAAATAAGAAAGGCTAATACATGGGAGTATGATAAGAGTAGAGAATGTGATTTTTTTATTAAAAACGAAAAGAAAAGAAAAAAAGAGCAGATGAGAACATAAAAGAGTTCTTGAGACTGGGAAGGATTTGTTGACCTAGAAGTAACACCGCCCAGGTCACAGGTGGGTGACCTAGCAAGACCATACCCCAGGTCACACTCTGGTGGTCTAGCAAGACCATACCCCAGGTCACACTCTGGTGGTCTAGCAAGACCATACCCCAGGTCACACTCTGGTGGTCTAGCAAGACCATACCCCAGGTCACACATGGGTGACCTAGCAAGACCATACCCCAGGTCACACTCTGGTGGACAAGAGGCTACGCCTCACCAATGTCACTTACTGTTGTACGCGGTGATGCAGGCGGTGAACTCAATGCCGTAGTTACAACTCTTCTGGAAAGTGTCTGTTTTGGCGAAATCGCTGCAGGCGCCGAGGTCACTCTGGGTCACGCCTGGCCACGTCCGCGATATGTTGGCTATCCAGAGGACGGCTGCGTCCCGGCTGGCCAGCGCCCCCGCCACGTCCGGCAGGCACACATAGCACACCAGGCCCTCTCCTGCGGCACTCCCGGAGACAGAGATTTATCAGGAGAAAGCGCTAAGCCATTACGACTATATAGCCATTACTTGGAAAGGGTTCAGGTTAATGATTTGGGATGGGACGGAGGGAAGGAATGGTGCCCAACCTCTTGGACGGTCGGGGTTTGAACGCCGACCTGTATGAAGCGAGACCGTCGTTCTACCGTCCAGCCCAAGTGGTTGGGTGCGGGAGTCCAGGAGCATTATTACTGGCATTATTAGTGTACTGTTTGGAAACATATTTTTTCAGTGACAGCTCTACGTTGGGTAGACTGGAAGTTAATACATCCTTTGCAACATTTTGTAAAAAAACAAAACTGCAGTCTTTACTGCAACCGCAGGAATCCCAACCTCAGATAGATAGTAACCTTGGGGTCAGACCATCTCTAACAGACGGTGTCAAGAAACATTGCTTAAACAATAAGACACCTCAGAGTGCTTCTTGACGACTACCCAACCCTCTGAGAGGGAAGACTATCACTAACCACTATGAACTACACCTTCGGCTGTCCTGGGTCTTATTCTTCTGAGTCGGCCTTGAGGAGGGTTTTGGTATTTTGAGGTTATCTTGAAATGATTTCTTTTTTTTTTAGTGTCCCCGCGGCCCGGTCCTCGACCAGGCCTCCACCCCCAGGAAGCAGCCCGTGACAGCTAACACCTAGGTACCTATTTTACTGCTAGGTAACAGGGGCATAGGGTGAAAGAAACTCTGCCCATTGTTTCTCTCCGGCGCCCGGGATCGAACCCGGGACCACAGGATCACAAGTCAAGCGTTTTTATTTTCTTAATTATCAAGGGAAAGCACCAAGTCATTACTACTTTATAGCACTGGCAAGGGGTCATGATAAGGATTTGGGATGGGACGGGGGGACGGAATTGGTGCCCAACTACTTGGACGGTCGGGGATTGAAGGCCAACCTGCATGAAGCGAGACCGTCGCTCTACCGTCCAGTCAAAGTGGCTGGACACACGTGCTGTCCGCTCGGCCGACTGGCTCCCCGACCCGGTACACTTAAGATCGGCATCGTATTTCTAACAATGAACGAGTACGATTATTAGAAGTGTGGAGCACCAAGATAAATCAAGGTGTAGGTAAAACTTGATGGCTTAATAGTAGTAATCCATTTGATAACTATCTACATAAAGTACTAAAGGTATTGATGTTGCTTTAATTATCACGACAAAGCAAGGGTGCAGCAGATAATAGAGGTAAAACGACTGGCTGAGCTGTATATATCTGACTATAATCACTTTAATTGGTGCTTAATTAACGCTGCAGTGTTCACACTACAGCAACCTTGGGGAATAATAGGATCACCTCCGAAACTCGTGTCTGGGGTCATTAACTCATTAATCAGTAATTAGATCATTAATCATTCATTATTCACGTATAAATGACGAGTCTAGAAGTACAACGGCTCTGAAATGAAAGACGTGAACAATGGCAGACACAACTCTGGATAGGTAAATATGCTTACTCTTAAGAACTTCTCGAGCCATCCTCTTGTAACCTCGTAGGGTGATACTGGGGGCCTAAGAAGTCACTCGGCTACAGGGTACACTGGCGCTTCTGCCCAACTTGTAACCGTCGGAGAGGCAGCACACAGCCGGAAGTAATTATCCTTATTCCTCACAAAGTATCCACTAACTAACCAGTTTAAATGCTTAAGATTTCTCATGTACACGCACGCACACATACATACACACACACACACACCAGTAGGCCCCAGTAGGAATGAACGACCACAGTACACTGGTGTTTGAGTATCTGGTTGAAGAAGGGTTATTGAACTCGAGAAGGGATACTGAAAACAAAAGGCTGGCATTCCGAAAGGGAAACTATGAGGAGATAAGAAAATTCCTAACAGATATAACATGGCAAACAGAGCTCAGGGAAAAGACGGCCATCATGTAGACATTATGGACTACATCACGCAGAAGTGCAAGGAAGCAGCAAACAAGTTTGTCCCAGTCCAAAAGGAAAACAACGAAATGAAGATGAGAAACCCATGGTTTAATCAGAGATGTAGGCTAGTTAAGCAGCAAAGTAAAAGGGCATGGAGAAACTATAGGAATAACAGGACACTTGAGAGCAGAGAAAGATACCAGAATGCCAGGAATAAATATGTCAGGATGAGAAGAGAGGCAGAAAGACAATGCGAAAATGACATCGCAAGCAAGGCAAAGACTCAACCTAAATTGTTGCACAGCCACATCAGGAGAAAAACAACAGTAAAGGAACAAGTAATGAAATTAAGGATAGGGGCAGAAGGATTCACTACAAACGACAAGGAAGTGTGTGAGGAACTGAATAAGAAATTCCAGGAGGTCTTCACCTTAGAGTAAAGAGAAATTACAGAGATAACCTATTATAGGTATAGGTTAAGTAATAATTGTAATTACGAAGCAATAAGATGCTTATCTTAACATACTAAGAAGGTTAGGTAAGGTCGGTGTTTTCTATGAAGCTTTTCAAGGTAAACTAGTATGCCACATATGCACGTATTTAATAAGTCAATATTGACTGTAAGAAAGTGCGAGAACGGGTTGAGTATTGTGGCGAGTTCCCACTCTTTCCCTACGGTCGAACTACTGTTTCCCCCCCCCCCCGCCAGGATACAACACCACAACAGTTTAACTCCCGGGTACCTATTTACCGCTAGGTGAACAGATGCATCAGGTGAATGGAAACGTGTCCAACCTTTTCTGTCCTACCCGGGAATCGAACCCGGGATCTCCGGGCATTATAATTGCAAATATAGTGAACACTTATTTGAAGCAAATGGGTTAAATTAATAGTATATTAGTTAATTAGATTAATATTCAGTAAGTTAATTAGTTCAGTGATATTTCCAATTATGTGACAAATCACCCCATTTTCCTCACCCAAAACCAACACTGACCAATCAAGCCTCATATAACCTAACGAGAAAGGTGTCGCTTCTACCTTATCGACAAGTAGTTCGACCTTCTAATCATACTTAAATGGTTGGTCCACTTCTCGGTCTGGTCCGAATTTGAGGTAAATGTTTTGTGAAATACGTACAAGTGTGTGGCGGCGGGTCTGGGGGACCAGATATCGTGAGTAAACACGTCCTGGCGTCCAAAGTTTTTGCTGCCGCTGTTCGCTCACGCTGGCCAGGGAGCAATGGCAGTGTGTGTGTGTGTGTGTGTGTGTGTGTGTGTGTGTGTGTGTGTGTGTGTGTGTGTGTGTGTGTGTGTGTGTGTGTGTGTGTGTGTGTTTAGCTCATTCCATAAATATTAATAATCTGATCCTTTTAAAATGTTTTTTGAATTTAATATTACTATTTTTAGTTGCATACACTGAAGGATAGAGTGACGCTTTTTATGAGAGAATGTATATTTTTCGTTTCCGTATCTGCCCACATCATGGCTAATTTTTAGCATTATGAAACGTTTCGTGATAGCCTTAATGAGATGCTCCTTCGACTCCTATGATTCTTCTGATCTGACTCACATTGTTGCCATCATCAGTTAATGTTTTGACATCCGATGTAGCTTAGCATTAGTGACAGACACCAATATGTAACCATCAATGATATAACCCTTCCCCCCCCCCCTTTACCATTAACCGTAGGAGTGCCACATGGCAGCATCCTAGGACCTCTCCTATTTCTTTTATACATCAATGATCTGCCTAATGTCTCACCGCCTATGTCTCTGTTTCACCACCGGATCATACTTCACACGGTCTCTTATAACCACATGTGGAGAGAGCTTAGTGGATCTTCAATCAACTGCAGTATTCGTTTCTATATATATGAGGAAAGGTTGAATGAGAAGGCCGGTCTAATGTGAGCACTCAAACATTATCTTTGTTGTTTGTGCTTGGATTTTTCTATTGTTGACTTTACATCAGCCTCTGGCTGGACGTTGTCCCATAGCACCTGTACAGGTGAGGGAAGCGTAGTCGAGGAAACTCACATGTAAGGGACGACTACAGTAAGTCTGAGGAACTACAGTAATCGGGTCCTTAGTTGGGTATGTGACACACACATAATTACACTGTGTCAGGATTGTACCATTGTGTTGTAGTGTGGTTCGGTTCAATATTATACCGTTCTCTTTATAGATTTCCCTGTGTATGCTTTGTATTATTTCAGGAGAAACCAGCGAATCCTTAGAGGTAAGGGATGATCTGTTCTGATACCTTGATTTATTGATTAATATCCTCATGATTATTTATGTGATTGTGTTGTGTTGTGATTTTGTGCTGTGTTATGGTTTAGCACTGAGAAGTGTAGCCTAGTGTTACTGTGTTCTGTAATTTATGCAATCTTTAATTGTTAATTAGTCAGTGAAGTTAATTAGAGTAATTAATGTAATCAAGTGTAGCGACATTGTTGTTTGGCAAGCTGTCTTGAGTGACAGCGTTGAGTTAACGTAATTCGTTCTTGATTAGCTGTCCATTAGCCAGTAATTATTGTAATTACTCACTGAATGTTTAACTGGTCCTAGTGACATTAATTACAGTTAGTGAATTATTGTTTGACCATCTGAGAGACAGGTTGTAACTAACATAGACTGCCTGTGTTGTTGACTGTCTGGGACAGTAATTAACATAATTAATCAATGAGATTAATTAGTGTAATTAAACTGTTGTTTTAAATGTCGTCCTTAGAAATGTGTGTTAATGTAATTGAGATGGTTACCGGAGACTGTCTCAGTGACCCGTTTCGCTGCATTTGCATTGATAATTGTTTTAATTTGCTTCTTGAGTCCGACTGAGCACCCATAATGTTCAGTCTAATTCATTATACCAGCCAAAAGTGGTCCGGATAGGAATCCGTACTATACTAAGAGCGGCAAGGATAGGAGTCCGTGCTATACTGCTGTTCGGATAGCTGTTTTTAGTGTCACTTCAGGACATTAACGTAACGTTAAGATTGTTGTGCCTTGTATTAGATTTATGTTTTGGTAAATAAATGTTATTGTTGCCAAAAGAAAGGTTTCTTTATGTCAATAGCTTCCAATATTATTGTCTTGCCCATGCTACAACATATTGAAGTATTTCTTGCATTTACCGAAGGCCTGTTTCTGGATTCGAACCTGATTTATTGCCATTATTACTGAATATTAAATTCGGTGTGAGAACCCATTAGTTACCCTTAAGATCGCTATAGACGATAAAGGAGCTTAACGACCTAATGGATAAAAGATGCCAAGGATTTGGACTCTGGTGGCTGCTCTCACCATTTATTTCAGTTTTAAAGTATAATCTCACATCTGGCATTCAACGTGCTGGCTTGTGCAGTCCTTACTGCATGAGGACACTTGTAATAGTGTCACCCAACAATAAATAATCTCACAAACGTTCCTTGGTCTATACATAGACCAAGGAACTTAGACTCAACTTCAACACCCCACATACAACACAACCAAAAAAGTCTTAAAAACAGTCGGTATACTTTCTAACATCATATATTATGTTCCAAACAATGATCTCATCTCATTATACTAGGCGCTAATTTATCTTATGCCATCTTATATATGGCATCTGTGCATGAGGCTCAACCACTGCAAACTACTTCAAACCCATCATCACCCATTAAAAATCTGTTATCAGAACAATAACAAAATCTGTTTTCAGACAACCCCTCTGTTTGAATCCCTAAACATGCTAAACAAACTCACTCCACACTTACTCTTGTGCCATTTACATTTATAAAACCTTGTACCTAAATGCAAATCCTGATCTGAAACTCTTCCTTGACAGATGTAACAGAACCCATAATCACCACACCAGAAATAAATATATCTTTGATATCCCCAGAGTCAAACTAAATCTGTGTAAACACTATGCAAATAAAGGGACCTAGTCTATGGAACTCACTTCCTAACGAATTAAGAAGCTATCCAACCTATGCCTTATTCAAAAGAAAACCCAAAAAGTAGCTAATTTCATCCTCATAGTTTCCTACCTAGTGCTTCAAACTTGCACCGTAGCTTGTGCTACCCACTCCCCCAAAATATGTGCCGAAACCATACAACTTCACCATTACAATCATTGCCAATCATCTTATATCATTTATATCATGGTTGTTATGTTGAACGCAAATTTTATTTCAATGTACCTAGAAATAATCCTCAGATTAGGCTACAATGTAGCTGTTGATAATCCTCAAATTTGACTATAATGTACCTGCAAACATTCTTCAAATTTTCTTACATACACCTGTTAACATTTTTAAATTTTGCTACAAATTACCTACATAATATCATCTGTTAGATTAAGGACCTGTCTGAAATGCTATGCGTGTTAATGGCTTTACAGGAATGTAAAAACATCAATGCTGTGTACTCTCATCAATTCAATGTACTTTCTTGTATATATAAATAAAAATAAATAAATAACTTTGGAACTGGAATTGTACATTTCGTGCGTTGGCCAGTAGGGTCTAAAATACATACTGGCACGAACATTTTGAAGTAATAGTGACATTACACACCTCAGGCACACCTTACACAAAACACAACATATTGTTTCTTTTTTTTAGGTTAGGTTAGGCTAACACGTGACTATGAAAATCACATGAGCCTCTTAAATTATAATATTTCTTAAAACATTTGACCATCTGTAACCATCTTCACTACGCACAAACCTCATCATCACTAGCTGGCTTCCCTATCCTTCACAACCTTCCCCTATCCTTCACCACCTTCCCTATCCTTCACCATCTTCCCTATCCTTCACCACCTTCCCTATCCTTCACCACCTTCCCTATCCTTCACCACCTTCCCTATCCTTCACCACCTTCCCTATCCTTCACCACCTTCCCTACCCTAGACATTTTAACCTTAAGAGGAACAGTAGTATCAGAGGAAAGACACACAGCTTCAATATATTTTTCAAAACAAATATTTCGGAAACTATAGTCCATCATAAGGGCTTAAAAAAACCCTGCGAAAATTTGCTACAAATCATCAACACAAAAGTTTAAAGACAATAAAAACATAATCGGCAGATAATATATATAAAATAGAAAATAAATCGTAAAGACCGAACAACATTCTCAGATGAAAACTAGAGGTTGAACAGCAAAGTTGAGAAGTCAGAGACGGCCAACACGGAGTGGTGGGGCTCATTTTTGCCTATATTCAAAGATATTGAGTTCTAGGGGATGACAATTGGTAGTCAGGGCATGGAAATCGCTGTAAGAGGATGGCTCATAGCTTCATTGAACTCTAATAGACACGACCTGTCTTAACGGCAGACCTGTGCGTCAAGAGAATATACATTCTTAATATTTAAAAAAGCAAACAACACCAGAGGCGTGAGTTCAATCCCACCGTATTGCCCCTAAATCTTATCAAATAATTATATAAATATAAAATATATAAATGCATAAATATTTACAAATACTAACCTGGTCCCAGTAGTGTGAGGAGACAGACGGCTGCCAGAAGCAACCTAGGCATCACGGATTTCACAAATCTGGGGACAAGCAGACATTCTAGTCACGAATTGTGCACCAGAATGCACTAATATCACAAAATATATCTCACGAATTGTGCGTGTATTTACATTTACAAAATATTAATAATATTAGTAGGAGTAATGCTTGTGGTTTTATTAGTAGGATATATAACTGCCAAGATTGAGAAAAGACGTACAGGTTTCGTGACTGATGCATCCTGACCCTGGTAGGAGTCCACATCACACGTCTACAAGGAATGGGAATGCTACGTTAACTGGCTCCTTTAACATTGCCTGTTAACATTAACATAAGAAGTCTTTATTTGCCTGGCAGTCAGTCCGCGTCCGTTGTGTTGCCAACACGCTAGCCTCCACTACCAGGTGAGCCACAAGCACTTACCCTGAAAATATATATACATTCAGACACGCACGCACACGTGTTTTGTAGAAGAATACATCGAGAAAGTCTGTATACATGTATACCACTGGCGTATGCGTGGCGCGTGTCAAGCTGTGTCAATGGACAGTGTCCAATATACTTGTCCACTATATACGGTTTATGTGATCGATGGTTGCTGCTATGCCTTAAACATGCATTTTTATTTAAGTTGGAATTAAAGCTAATTTAAACAGTGGCTAATTCAAGTTGAAAACGATGAATGGGGCGGTTTTCTTGATTTATATATTCCCGCCATTATTGATGTGTGATGCAGGAGCTGGCCATCACACACACACACACACACACACACACACACACACACACACACACACACACACACACACACACAGGAACTTACTTACACCTTCAGGAACCTGTACACCTGTTGATTGACGGTTGAGAGGCGGGACCAAAGAGCCAAAGCTCAACCCCCGCAAGCACAAATAGATGAGTACACATACACATACACATAGGGTATGTGTATGTGTGTGTGTACTCATTCCTCTCAATGTTTGCTGATGATGCAAAAATTATGACAAGAATTAAGACAGATGATGATAGACAGAGACTACAGGACGACCTGGACAGGCTGGAGGAGCGGTCTAGAAAAAGGTTGCTAAAGTTCAACTCAGGAAAGTGCAAAGTGATGAAATTAGGCGAAGGGAGCAGAAGGCTGAACACAAGGTATCATCTGGGAGGTGAAATCCTGCAAGAGTCAAATAGAGAGAAAGATCTGGGGGTTGATATCACACCGAACCTGTCCCCAGAGGCCCACATCAAAAGGATATCCTCAGCGGCATATGCTACATTGGCCAATATAAGAACTGCCTTTAGAAACTTATGTAAGGAATCGTTCAGGACCCTGTATACCACTTATGTCAGACCAATCCTGGAATATGCAGCTCCAGCTTGGAGTCCATACCTAGTTAAATACAAGACAACGTTAGAGAAGATTCAGCGGTATTCCACCAGACTCGTCCCGGAACTGAGAGGAATGAGCTACGAGGAAAGGCTAAAGGAGCTGAAACTTACGTCCATGGATGACAGAAGAGTAAGGGGAGACATGATAACCACCTACAAAATTTTCAGGGGAATTGACAGGGTGGACAAAGACAAACTCTTTAGTACGGGCAGAACACGAACAAGGGGACACAGGTGGAAACTGAGTACCCAAATGAGCCACAGAGACGTTAGAAATAACTTTTTCAGTGTCAGAGTAGTTAACAGATGGAATGCATTAAGCAGTGATGTGGTGGAGGCTGACTCCATACACAGTTTTAAATGTAGATATGATAGAGCCCAGTAGGCTCAGGAATCTGTACACCAGTTGATTGATGGTTGAGAGGCGGAACCAAAGAGCCAGAGCTCAACCCCCGCAAGCACAAATAGGTGAGTACAACTAGGTAAGTACACACACACACGCGCGCGCTGTGTGTGTGTGTGTGTGTGTGTGTGTGTGTGTCCACCTAGGTCTTGGGTCCAAGAGTTAAGAGGTCGATCCTGCAGGCACAAACAGGTGAGTGGACACACACACGCGAGGCCCTGGTACACTGAGAGCGAGACATAGCGTGCAGCCCGCCAGTGTTCACCTACTAAAGTGACCCCACAAAGGAAAGTGGACGCCGAGCACTTACCCTGATGACACACGTACACACACGCTGCTGCACAACGTACATGAAGGTGCACATGCACTTATGGAAAGATCAAGTCAAATTCAAAGCATTACCTATCGAACCTAGTTAATTTATATGACTTCTTTAGTAATTATCTACAGTGTGTTTATCAGAGTCCAATTTGTGGAGAGTTGTGTACACAGTTTAGCGTCGTAGTGGCTACACGTGTTAAAGTCTCGGAGCATTTTATTCAATATATCACAGGAAAGACAGGCGCCATATCGGTTATTGTAGTCATGTTGGGGTCACGTGGTGGGGGTCACATGGTGCGGGTCAGTTAGGGTCAGGGCTCCCCTCCCCCACACATGGAGAATTAATCTACAAGTGTCAGACGAGAAATCATACGAGTGTTGCAGGTGAAACATTGGTATCGAACGCCGCGAGTCCAATAAAAGTTTACAATAATAGTACGACGTTGGTGAAGGAGAGTCTAGCTATTAACTCAACTCCGGTCACCTCTGTGACACTTTGACGATATATTATATATCTATATATATATATATATATATAATATATATATATATACATATTATATTAGTATATATATACATAATATCGTATATATTATATACATAATATCCCAAATACTAGTCCTATCTCTGGTACAAAGCTTTTCATTAATTATGATCCTTGGAACGGTAATTAAATTCGGGATGCATTCTCCGTAGACTTCAACGAAGTATCTTCCTATACTTCCAGTATCACTGCTACCTTATTCACTCTTGTGTTGATGATATCCTCATAATGCACCCGGAGTCTGCCAGTGCAGACTCCTAATCACGTGCCTCTGTATGACTAACCATCCTGTGTGATGGGGATTTTTTAGCACCACGTAGCTAGGTTTTTGACACACTGTAGATATAGTCTATGGTCTGTACAAATGCAGATGTATAATATCTATATATATATATATATATATATATATATATATAAATATCTATATAAATATATATATATATATATATATAATATTATAAACCCCAACAAGTCCTCATACCTCGACACAGTTGCCACCTCGAACTTTTGTTCCAAGTAACTGAATCTAAAACAAGAATAATTGTCCAGTAGTTCAGGGTGGAAGCGGCATTAATTGGGTAGTTTTACGTGGACCGTGGCCGCTAATACCTCTCTCTCTCTCTCTCTCTCTCTCTCTCCTCTCTCTCTCTCTCTCTCTCAGTCCCTCTTCTTTCTTCCCTCATCGCTCGCTCTTTCTCTCCCTCCTTTTTCGCTGTCTCCCTCTTGTTCTCTCTCTCTCCCTCCTCCTCTCTCTCTCCCCCCTGTTCCCCTCTCTCTCTCTCTCTCTCTCTCTCTCTCTCTCTCTCTCTCTCTCCACCACTCTCCCTCCCTCCAGTTGTCTACGCAGAGCTCAGATTATCTTGAGTGAATATGTGGATATGTTATACGTATGACACACTAGCGACATTACTATGCCAGTCATTACAATGGTGGTATGCATTACAAATTGTAAGTAGCGATTATTACAAGCGTCGAGCACAATCAGGAGCTCCCACGAGCACAATCAGGCGCTCCCAGGAGCGTCGAGCACAATCAGGAGCTCCCATGAGTGTCGAGCACAATCAGGAGCTCCCATGAGCGTCGAGCACAATCAGGAGCTTCCATGAGTGTCGAGCACAATCAGGAGCTCCCATGAGCGTCGAGCACAATCAGGAGCTTCCATGAGCGTCGAGCACAATCAGGAGCTCCCATGAGCGTCGAGCACAATCAGGAGCTCCCATGAGTGTCGAGCACAATCAGGAGCTCCCATGAGCGTCGAGCACAATCAGGAGCTCCCATGAGTGTCGAGCACAATCAGGAGCTCCCATGAGCGTCGAGCACAATCAGGAGCTCCCAGGAGCGTCGAGCACAATCAGGAGCTCCCAGGAGCGTCGAGCACAATCAGGCGCTCCCATGAGCGTCGAGCACAATAGAGCTCACACGCAATTTATCATCGCATTCCGCAATACAAATTAAGCTGAAGGCGATGTAAATAATGGCGCCAGCAACAGCGCTTAACCGTTAGCGACCGTTAAATATATTTTTTAAGAAACTCAAAAGAAAACGTTTATTTTTATAACAGCTTGTGTTTGGTATTGTTATTAAATTATTCCCGTATACTTCTAGACCCGTGTAGCTGTAATCATTCAGTTGAAGAGGCTCTCGCTGTTCTCTGATATACAATTCAAATCAAAATTTCGTCTACAAGAAAAATGCTGCAAGAAAAACTTTGAATGAACATATTTTAAATTGTTGAAATGTGTTCTCTTGATGAAGGCTCATCGCATTATCACTGGAAATAAATATTTTATATGAATGCTCATTTGTCATCTCACTGCTGTTATTTTATGTTGTGGTTGGTGACCTCGGGGGTTGTACCGGGTGACCCATTATCGAGTTGTATGAAATGTATGTTGTTGGGTTACCCGGCACAACGGCGCCACCAGGCACGCACCATACACACTCCCGCCACACACCCGCTCTAACTGTTGTTTCCGCTTCCTCCACCCCCCCCCTTCCCGCCCCCCCCTTTCCCGCCACCATACACCCGGAGGCAGGATCTTCATTATTGAGTAGGTGGTGGCCGCGTACCTGCTTCAGGTGGTGGGTAATGACGTATGGGAGCAGACTGAACGAATGCTTACAGTACATAGCCACTGGGGATGAGTGGTAACTAACACGGGGGCGGGGAGAGGTGCTGGACAAAAGAGGACCACAGGCAGTACTGGACCAAAGAGGACCACAGGCAGTACTGGACCAAAGGGTACCAGCCGCTCGTCAAACTGAGGACACAATAAAATCCCAATGTTACATACGTAGGAGCAAATGTGTGCAGCGGGAGGTGGGCGCGCGTCTGGGGGTGAGGCTGGATGTTAGTTCCATCCCACTCTCCTGCTCCATAGATTTTCTAATTAATCGAATGTTGGTGTCTTATAAGTTACTAAAAACGATTCATATGGGACAAGCGGGAAGCGGAGAGTGAAGCAGTAGGTATCCATCAGTCTCAGGAGACTATGGAGTTGCGCTCTGGTTGTCGGTCTGGAGTGGCCTCTCCAAGGAGCAAAGCCAGGATAGGTTGATACGGGGGAGAAGCTGTTACCCAAGCAGCAGGTCCCCCCTCTCCCCCTTCCGCCACAGCTGGTTAAGACCATGTCAGTGCTTAAGGTGAAATATCACCTTGTTTAGTTTACGAAGTCAGAAATATCAGATTCTTACCGGCTTCTCGGCAAAAGTTTGGGAGAGAGAGAGAGAGAGAGAGAGAGAGAGAGAGAGAGAGAGAGAGAGAGAGAGAGAGGAGAGAGAGAGAGAGAGAGAGAGAGAGAGAGAGAGAGAGAGAGAGAGAGAGAGAGAGAGAGAGAGGAGAGAGAGAGAGGAGAGAGAGAGAGAGATGAGAGGAGAGAGAGAGAGAGAGAGAGAGAGAGAGAGAGAGAGAGAGAGAGAGAAGAGAGAGAGAGAGAGAGAGAGAGAAGAGAGAGAAGAGAAGAGAGAGCGAGAGAGAGAGAGAGAGAGGAGGAGAGAGAGAGAGAGGAGAGAGGAAGAGAGAGAGAGAGAGAGAGAGAGAGAGAGAGAGAGAGAGACAGAGAGAGAGAGAGAGAGAGAGAGAGAAGAGGAGAGAGAGAGATAGAGAGAGAGAGCGAGAGAGTAGAGAGAGAGAGAGAGAGAGAGAGAGAGAGAGAGACGAGAGAGAGGAGAGAGAGAGAGAGAGAGAGACGAGAGAGAGAGAGAGACAGAGAGAGAGAAGGAGAGAGAGGAGGAGAGAGAGAGAGATAAGGGATGGGAGAGAGGAGAGAGAGAGAGGAAGAGAGAGAGAGAGAGTAGAGGAGAGAGAGAGAGAGAAGGGGGTGGGGATTTGTGTACCGCCGACATGGACCTACATAAGTAGGCTGTAAGTAATTATCTAAATATAAAGAGAGGGAAGTTCTTGGCCCCTTCCACCCACTTCCCCACTTCAGCCTATCTATACACTTTGCCAGAAAACCACTGGATGATGGAACAGAACTGTGACCTATGGCGAGTGTTGATTGTGGCATATGATGAATGTTGATTGTTGATTGAAAGCTTTTTTGTTTCCCATTTAAAGTGAGCAGTACTGACTTTACCCTCTCCCTCAGTGTGTACGCTTCCCTATGTTCAGAGATGTTCAAAAATACCTCCCCCCCCCCAGAGTGTTCAATTCCCTATGTTCAGAGGTGTTCAGAAATCCCTCTCCCCCCCACTACCCCAGGTTATTGTTGACTTACATATCACAGATTAAATGGTGACAACTTAATGTGCACTCTATAGAGTGGATAAAGTTGAGTTCGTAAGTTAATTTGAGGAAATATCTGATAAAGGCCACGTCAGTGCTGAGGCTGATGAAGGTCAAAGCTGTCCCACGCTCAATAACCATAATATACACACTAAGTGTTTCCTGGAGCGACGTATTAGTGTTAGATTGACGAACTCTGTCAGGTAAATCAATTCAGAGTGTGGTTGTGCTAAGAGTTACTGACATTCCTCCATGTCTGAGTTTGGTGATATTTGACAAATTAGAGCAAAGTTCATCCTGTCCACTTGGATTGATCGCCAGAGGGACAGTCTCGCTTCTTGTAGGGTCAGTTGTTCCTTCACTACGGCCAGATATCCCAGCTCCTTGCCCTCGTATCCCAGCTCCTTGCACTCGTATCCCAGTTCCTTGTCCTCGTATCCTAGCTCATTGCCCTCGTATTCATTCCAAATTACACAATTTATGTCCCTGGGTAGTAAGTGTTATTTTCCGATTGTTTATGCCTCCCAAGTATAGAAAATGGGTAGTCTTCCCCTTAGACTTTGCTGACCTTTGTCTTAGCTTAGGAAAGATGTCCTAAAGGTTGCCGACTCCTCATCTAGGGCTGGGACACATGACTGCATAAGTCGGCAGCCTTCAGGTACCTTCAAGACGTCACCCCTAAGCTGTCTTAGCCAAAGGTCAAAGCAAAGTTTGAGTATAATAATAGCCGTTATCGAGAATTTGGAGGCATTAGCAATCAGAAAAAAATACTTACTCCCCAGAAACAAAAAATCTTAGTGCAATCCTCAAGTTATTCTCGGTTCTCTGAATTATCCTAACATGTTCAGGAGTATCCTTGTGCTATCCTGATGTTATTTTATTGCTTATATTGTCCTGACTCCTAGTATTTATACATCGCCCGAGTTATTCCGTTTACCCTCAGTTATCCTAGGGTCATGTTTTAATTTCCCTGAATTATTCATAGTTATCCCAGTGTTACCTCAGTAATAGTGTAGTTATCTAAGTTACCTTCAATTATCCTATTACCCTGCGATTTTCCATACTCTTGTAGCCACAGCCGGCTTGTATCCACTCCACCTTCGTCTCCGAAGATGTTGAGAGCTTCAAAGAAATGCTTTCATAAGCGTCAGGCTAAAATGTAAAATGAACTTTGAGTTGTAAATTTTTCAACTTCCATCTGAAGTAAAGAACATTAGAAATAACAAAAAAGATTCGTGCAAGTTGAAAAATTTATTCTCAAAATAAATTTTCAGTTTTTTATTTAAAAGGGTGGGGGGGAGGCTGATGCAAGAGATGCATTCCCTTGAATCTATCATCATTTTCCAAAGGCAGAGGTGAAGTGTATACAAGTTAACTCGAGCAACTGAATCACCAAGAATGATGGGGCGAAGTAGGTGACGCATGAGCCAATAGGCCTTGTGAACTTTCCTTACTTCCTGTGTTACTGTGATGGCTGAGGCAGTGTGCTGGATATTCTGCCTTGGAGTTGAGGGTGGTAGAATGTACCAGTGTCCGCTGAATGGTAACAGTTGGTCGAGACTTTTGGTATGTAGTTTATCTTCTATTGTCGTTGTCCGTCTATGATTTAGATGTGGGTTCTAAGAATGTCTTTGATGATGATCTGTTGCGCGAAAAAGATTATGTTCTAATGGCTTGATGGATCCTTGTTATTTATGAATTGTCAGGCGCCTTGAAAGAGTTGTTATCTTGCTTATATTTTGAGATCGCTCAAATGAGCAGTTGAACTCATAGACGATATATTCGTCTCAAGGCGTTCCGCTTGGAGTCGGGAGAGTTTTTCATGAGCAAGTTTTCGATCTTTTGTAGATTGTCAACTCTGTCTTTTGGTTGGTGTCAGTAGGGGTCATGTTTCAATCATCACTGTCATTCAGGACTCTTTTTCTTTCTTTTTGCGAGCTGTGTTAAAGCAGTTTCTGTAGAATAATTTGATAGGTAAGGCACATGTCTGGCCGTTTTATCAGATAGCATTCCAGTTCACCTTTCTTTTAATATCATTGATATATCCGTTAGAATATCCATTATTGACTAGGACTTGCCTTACTCTGCTGAATTCATCTTCAACCTGCTTCCAATTGGAGCTGTAGTAGATATACACAACAGGAAGCACAAGGAACGGAATATAGATACTGGTTTTAAAAGATTCCCCCATTTTGCACCCACAAGATAACGCAAGATTTTAAGGGTTGACATATGTTAATCTTCTTGTTTGAGAAGCTGTTCAACTGAGACAGTTAAGTAAGTCCCAGCTGTGTCTGGGTACAAGTGACAGGATGAACAACCCAGCGGTTTTTTTTTCCTATTGGGGAGTGTTGTACATATTGCAACGGCAGTGTGTCCACTCACAGGATGAGTGAGTGGACAAAATTAAAAGGAACTCACCATGTATGTAGCAGTAATGCTCTAGACGTATCACCAGCACAAGCAACAGGCCATGTTTATATCTGCAATAGAAATGGTCTACACAAAAAAAGAACCGTCTCTAATGGCCTACCCTTCAGAATACTTTCTTATGTAGGTCGACTGGAGCTGCACGTGGCGTCCGTCTTGTACAAGAGTCCAAGTAGTTGTGTGGCCTTGCGCATGCCACCTGGCCAGGTACTCCCCGAGGAACACCCCCCTCCCCCCCCACCACCCTCTTTACCGCCAACATGGTAACATTCCCCTCCACTTCCTCCATTCCCTTCCGCCCCCCCCCCACTCTGCCCACCTTTATACTTCGGAAACTTTTCCCCCTATAAGCCCGAACCTCCTCTTTCGTCCAACATGACTCACAGGCAAGCCCCCACGAATTCCACACCCACCTAGGCCTCAAATCCCGCCTAGAACAAGGGCCAGCCCTCCCCCCCCCCCCTATGTTTGGTAATGTGTTTATTTGTGATGTGTGTCTATGTATATATTAACACGATGTACTGAATGGGGTGAGAATAGCTTGAGCTACCTCATCCCTTTGTGTGTATTTTACCTCAATAAACTTATTTCAATTTCAATTTCAATTTCTTCCCCCTATATACCAGAAATTTATTTATAATTCATATCCCCTAACAATACTATGGGTTCGACTCCCGCTGCTGCGCCATGCACCACCTTCCCGTCCTCTTACCCCATCACAGTAAACTAAATAAGCAAAACAAATTATGACAAAGTTTATTCTAAATGGACTGTTATGTTAAAGATTGTAAATTAGTGTAGTTAATATGAGCCGCGGGGACATATGGAGCAGCGTTCTCGCGCCCAAGCCAACGCCACCTGTCCTCTACGGTGAAGTGTAAGCTGTATTATCCAGAGTGGAAGATTCTGGTGTGTACGCACCTAGTTGTGCTTGCGGGGGGGGGGGGTTGAGCTTCGGCTCTTGGGTCCCGCCTCTCAACTGTCATTCAACCGTATATATTTCTGAAGATTCAGGTGTGTGTGGTCTGCCTGTCTATCATACCGTTCTATTACTGGTCCCGGCGTGAACGGTCAAGGCAGTGATGGAAGCACTACATAGTAGTAAATAAATTCTTCCAATTCTTTTTAAATATTATTATTATTACAATAATTACATACACATACTTATCGAAATTTTTATGAGGGTCACTCTCTAGTGGCCTCGATAAGGACAGGAAGCCAGAAGCTTGTCAAAGGTCCCCCTATTTGTCCTCATAATTTTAGACATTTGGATTTTAAATTGTAGCAGTTTTTTGGCATTTACAGCTTCGTCGGGTAGGCGGGCTTATAACCCTGTGGGTGAAGAAGCAACTCCTCTTTTCTGCCCTACATTATGGCTTGTTAAGCTTGAATCCTTTACTCTTTGTTAGTTACATCTGACCTTTTGAAGAAGTGGTTTGGATCAATATTATATTATATACAGCACAACATTACTTTGTTGATCTGACAGCTAAGGATGCTGTAGCTGGTACTCTAAGCCTTACGAGTTTATTGGGCAGCGGAAATCATCCTGTGAGTGGACACACCACCATAGTGACAGTATTGGGCAGTGCCACTCATCCTGTGAGTGGACACACAACCATAGTGACAGTATTGGGCAGCGCCACTCATCCTGTGAGTGGACACACCGCCATAGTGACAGTATTGGGCAGTGCCACTCATCCTGTGAGCAGACACAACCATAGTGACAGTATTGGGCAGCGCCACTCATCCTGTGAGTGGACACACAACCATAGTGACAGTATTGGGCAGCACCACTCATCCTGTGAGTGGACACACCGCTATAACACCATGTACAACACCCCCCCCCCCATCATGTCACTTGTACCCAGACATAGCTGGGACTTGCTTTTACTGTCTCAAGTGAACAGCTTCTCAAACAAGTAAGTAAAGTAAAGTAAATTTTATTCAGATAAGTACATACATAGTTGATTTACAAACAATGTTGGATTTATAGATAGAACTAGTACATACAATACCTAAAGCCACTAGTACGCATAGCGTTTCGGGCAAGGTGAGGTGGGGGAAAAACACTTACACTAAAGCTTAATAGTAATTGAGTTTAACGTATAAATTGCGTTAAAAAGGTGGGGGGGGGAAACATGGTAGAAAATAGCCAATATACACGTTGGTCAACAAACAGCATTGTTTAAAAATAGCAAGACGGGTCGACATTTAGGGCAAGGTAGGTTACATGGAGTTAATTAGGTAGTACTTAGTTTTCATCTTAAACTGGTTGAGAGGGGTACAGCCTTTGATATGATTGGGAAGATCATTTCACATTCTGGATCCCTAGATTTGTAGAGCATAAGATTAACACAAGATTAAATAAAATTAAAATTAAAATAAGATTAACATGTAGAGCACAAGATTAACATTTGTCAACCCTTAAAAACTTGCGTTATCTTGCGGGTGTTTGGGTGCAGATCTGGAAAAAGGAGACCAGCAGGTATTCACACTACAAGGGGGAAGGCAGCTACAGAAATAAGAAATATAAATTTTTGAAAGTGAATGTAATTACAACATTAACACCAAAGGTACACAAAGAAAAAGAACAACAGTGGCAGTACACTAGAAACTACAGACATTAGATCATCTTTAAAAACCTAAATAAGCATTATATACAGCCTATTAGGCCGGTACTGGAATATGCAGCATCAGACTAGAATCTATCTCGTAGAGCATAAAATCAAAATTCAAAGAATACAGAGGTTTGAAGTAAGATTAGTGCCAGACCTAAAAGGGTTAAGCTACAAAGATAGGTTAAGGGAATTAAACCTCAACCCAGGAGGTGAAACAGATATATGATCACAACATACAAGATAAGGAGGGGAATAGACAAGGTCAGCCTCTTTAAATTGAGAAAGTAGGATGAATGAACGTAGAGGAAAGCTGGAAATGCAAGCGAGTCCAAGAAATTTAGGAAAATATTCATACCCGGCTTGAATGGTCTACAAATAATTACTTATCAGAAGAGAGCACCAAATCAGGAAGACTATTCTGTACTGTCAATTGCAGAATAGTCAAAAGGTCCTAAATATCACTCGAGATGCCAATACGAAAGCAAAAATATACAAGACTAAAATTATAATGCAACAGGTACAACAATGTTTTAGATACAATTAATGCAGTGAATAGGGAAAGGTTTGCAACTATACTTCACATCTCTGAAAATGCCACACATGCAAAAGAACATCTCAGTACGTCAGGTTATATTGGCATGCCCTAATTTTTTTTTTCAACGGGGAAAAAAAAACAAAGTACCAGAGCATTCGCCAATGCCTGTACAAACACAACCTCCCTGCTTCCCTTGCAACCTAAGCCAAAGAAACATGTTCAACAAAGGGCAACCCCTCATGGGTAACCTCTTTGTAGGTGGTCAGATGACTCAGTTTCCACAACTGGTGACACCACTTGGTTGCCAGTCGCCATAGGCTGGAGAGGGAAGAAGCCACCTGAACATGGTATACAAATTACCACTGGTGGGAGAGGGTCCCATTCTTGAAAAGGAAAGTACTGTACTGTTTAATATTTTGATGTAATAAACAGTACTGAGGAATTGTGCTCATAATATAACAATACTGATTCATGACATGACACTACCAGTGTGAAAACAACATTTTCTACAGGAAATTCAGAAGACAGTAGGGACAGCATCTGTAGATATTTACTGACTTGTACACTTCATCAAGAGTCAATAATCATATTTTTTTCTTTACAGCAGTCTACTACTTGTAGAATTTAGCAATTATATTTTTCCTTAAATACTGCTTCCACCTGACCATGACTGATTTGTAACCACTTATACACGACTTAAATGAACATGACCACAAGACTTATAGGTAAGGGAGATTTGATGCATTTATCTGGAAATTTAATGGCAAAAGATGGTGAACATTTTTATTGAAAAATCTGCATAAATGGTACATACAACATTTTAATAGAGAATAACCAATAACTATGAAATGAAACTAGATGGAGGAAAAAACACACTAGATTAAGAATAGTAACCCTTTGCAGGTCATGAAAACAAGGTAGGATAGCCTTCAGTTGTAGCAACTTATGCTAGGTTCTGGACAATTTCCTTGTTCCTAATATCCAGACACTAAACACATTACCATTATTAGGTATTCAGTGATACCATATAATATAAAAGATAGAAGTGAATAGGTATCTATGCTAGAGGGAAGCAAGCAAAAAGATACATTATGACTATATTGGACATTTCAGTTTCACAGTTTATAATGAAATACATAAATATCTTAGGTTTCCTAACAGGAAACCTTGGGTTACCTGTTGAGGATAGGAAACTCTTGGGTTGTTGAGGTACTCTCTCTCTTTAGCCAAAGTTGAGGCTGCAACCTTACTGTTCCCAATCCCGTTACAATGTTTAAACCTTACTGAGCAATGTGTGCACAACCCAACCCGTTCTCGCAAATTCGTAAAGTCAATATTGACTTATTAACTACGTGCATAAGTGATATACTAAACATAATAGATACCCCTAAAAAGATTCATAGAAAACACCGACCTTACCTAACCTTGTTAGTATCTTAAGATAAGCATCTTATTGCTTCGTAATTACAATTATTACTTAACCTATACCTATTATAGGTTAGGTAATAATTGTAATTACGAAGCAATAAGATGCTTATCTTAAGATACTAACAAGGTTAGGTAAGGTCGGTGTTTTCTATGAATCTTTTTAAGGGTATCTATTATGTTAAGTATGTCACCTATGCACATATTTAATAAGTCAATATTGACTTATTAAATTTGCGAGAACGGGTTGGCACAACCACACCACTGGATGGGTATCCTAGGCCAATTATATTCCCTTGAGATGCAAAGTATTTGAGATTAATCGCAAGAATATTTTTTAAAGAACTAACAAGTTAAAGATGCAGCCTATAATCATCACTCCAAAAGTGTAGGACTAACTCATCTAATATTGTAAACTCAAATTTCCTATCATGTAAAACCAAACCTTCCGCTATTAAATTCAATATTACAAACGGCAAGCTTAGCTTATACTCGGTATACATTTTAATTTTAGGCAACAAGTACATGAAAGGTATACATCATTATCAATATATAAAAAATAATTCACTTACAGTTATTCAGAACAAGTACTTATGGTAAGTTAAGGCTTTGCAAAAAGTACCAAATTATGTTTGAAGAACATCATAATATTTATGTTGCTTGCTTTAAGAGCAGTGACCAGGAATAAATAACAAAACCTCCTTACTCTTTCTAGCACAAAGTATCTTTGTACACTAAAATATTTACCTTATTCAAATATTTACTATTAATTCATTCCAGAATTTAGCTACACATGCACTTGAAAATTCAACAATATAATTACAGTTTCGCTCAAGTCACTTGTATATACACAAAATAAAGGTTTGATCCACGGCAAAATATTTTGAAAATTTTATTTAGTGCACCAGCAGTCAAAAGCAAATACTGTAGTGCAATTGAATCGACTCTCATGTATACTATGAACATAGTGATAAATGGTGAATGGCTGGCAGCAGAGGACATCAGTGCCGGTGATCTCGGTCAACTGTACTATATACCTCAACACCTGCTGCTTTACATATAATAACCCTCCATTTCAATTAATCTTGGATTTATCTATTATCTGAATGGAGTTGTAGGTAATAGAAAAAAACATACCATTTCTTGCTCTTTAAATGACATGCAAAACTATTTGGAGATCAATTTACTTAAGGATAAAAAATTATTCAAACACATGCTTTGCCAATATTGCATAGAAAGTAGTGTGAATAGTTTTCAAGACAGCCCTACATATTTATATAACACCCTCAAACAAGTAGTAGATGCCTGGGCTCTGGCATGAAAGTACACACTACAAATACTGTACAGTATTTCAAATGCTTGGAAGTGCATTCTATTACTAATCTAAAATACCCAGTTTCTTGCATTACTTATACTGTACTATTACAAATTATTATAATTGTCAGATGTTTGCAATACAGTAATTGAGTTTACATTGTATTGAGTTTGCCACCACCAGTTTACATGCCTTTGTTTCAAGGTCACTCAAAAGACACAGACAGTTTAACAGCTACAATACTTACACTAAAGATAATAACTCAAGAATGATTCTTCAACTAGAATTTATCAATGTGCTGAGCAATGGGAGCCTCAAATATGCTACGACTCCTCCAGACAGAGGCAAGTCCCCATTGTAACTTTCAAAATATCTGAAGCAAACCAAGTTATGGTTATTAGAGGAACTTAAAAAGGATGATGAAGGATATTCTTTGTCTGCACTATATAGCAACTGAATACTTGTGTAGCTTAAAATCAAACATGCTACTATGAAAGCATGTTTGAACCATTTTAATTGTGAAGCAGACCTCCAAGATTATCCACAACAGTAAACTCTTATCAATGTACTTAATTAGTATTACAACACTAATACCTATGGACAAAGCACTGTCTTCAATAAAAAGCACAGGAAAGAACAAATTACTTATTTACACAAAGTTCGTTTAATCATTACCCTCATGACTACTGCTCCTCTCGATTTTCTGGGCAAGCAGTGAGCAATTGGCTCGCTGAATTAATTTTAAATTTAAAATCAATTTGTTACAAATCCTAAGTTCAAATTTGTCCTTAATTACATTACACAAAATGTGTTACCACACCACACCCAATATAATAACAGGCACTGTTTGGATGCATGGACCGAATAATATTGCTGCCACATTTGCAAACATCTAAACGTATCATGTAAAGCCCAAAATATTATAATAAACAGTTAAAGCAAGTTATGGTTAGGAGATTTACAATTGTTACATAACTATTGTAAAAGCTTTGGTTTTAACGATATGGAAAACAATTCAAGAGTTGTGCAATACCACATTATGCTACATAAGCATGTACACTAGTATTACTCTGCATAAATCAATTCATTGAAGTTCTTTCAAAATATGAAGATTTTCAGTGGCTAGTCACCAACTGACCATCTATGGGTGCCGCAAAAATAAAACGGTCCTTGGAATAAAACACGTACATTGTCAATCTTACATGTCGAATCTTAAATTGCCAATCCAAACACCGACACGATGCAATACATAGTTTTATTCTCCCAGCGGACTGTACACGACCCATCAGTTGTGTTGTCCCAGTAACATGAACTCGCTGTGTGTAAGCCTGCACCATTCTTCTGCATTATTACACATGTAACTGTAGGAAAATAAATTATATACAGTATATATACATCATACATACACATCATTGATGTACTGTATTAAAAGTGTACATCCAATAATGTGCAAAGGTGTACCAATAGTTTGACTAAAAACGATATTGCTGTATTACCCAATACCGATACGGCTACACTATAAAAGATCTGTACCCCTAAATATATGGTATTAACACTTAGACAGCTGCTATAGAGAAAAGGAGGGGGGGGGGGACCTTCGACAAGCTGCCGGCTTCCTGTTCTCATCGAGGCCAATAGGGTTAGCGGGCCTCAGGTAAATCGGGTAAAAAAATAAATGCAAAAAAAATATAAAATTCCAAAAATTATTTTTAATTATAGAATTATTAATTGGATGTAAAATGTAAGAAAAAACACAAAAGTGTGAATATTTATCGATTCACCGGGCAGAGGCACTCTGCATGGTTGTGTCTGGCACTTGTCAATGCCATCCAGAGAGCTTTTATATCCATATTTGCATCATACATGTAAAACCCAGACAATAATTGTTTAAAATCATATGGTGACCATATTCCCCTAGTAACCTGCATGATGATAACCGTATTTGTACCATGAAATGATAGGATTTTTTCATGGATCAAGGTAAACTACATTACATCTACATAGACCTATTATATCCCTATTTACATCATGTAAAACCCAGACAATTTCTTAAATCTTCATATGATGAAAACTGCATTACCCTGTGAATCAACAACTGACGATAACCGCTGAAAAAGTCAAGTACATATCTGTATTAATAATAGAACTTATTGTGATCTCTGGGTTTGTAAACATTAACATAGCAGCAAAGCAGTTGACAAAGTAAGGGGAGCATTACTGAGGGAGGCATTTCTAGAAAAAAAAATTAGAAATAAGTACAAGTACAGTACAGTATTATGATTTGAAGGAAGAATAATTACAGATTTTTGTCACTACTGCATGGAGTGACATTTGTTCCCAACTGATGGCATCATTTAAGCAGGTCTAGGCATCCATTTTGAGAGCCAGAGAACTTGACAAAATATTACACAGTATTTTGGAAAAAAATATTCTAGGTACTTTAACAGATGTCACTTACTACTTCTCATGCCCATTTTTGTTGTGTTAATAGCTTTCCCCTATTGACACAAGAAAAATCGGCTTCAAAAGGATTCAAGTTCTGAAATGCAGCATTTCATACAGTGGCATTTAAAAATAAAGATTGGGAACTTATCTTGTGCTTAAGGTTGCAAAATCTATACACCAATTCCTGCCTTAACCATTAAGAGACAAATATTTGGAAACTGCAATGTTTATATTGATTAGCATGGGAAAGTAGACCCAAGGAAGCATTAAGGGAGGCATAAACGTTAGTATGGACTTTAAGAAAGGACTAAGTGAGCAGTCTAGACGTTCCAAATACTGACCCATGTGTAATACAGAAAAATATAATTTACGCTGTTGAAATTAATTAATTAAAAGTAATTAATGTATGGCAAGTTGTACAAGTAGGTGGGGGTGAAAGGAAGCACATGGAATACATGGGATGGCATCTCAAGAGATGTGTGGTGGCAGATTAGGGCTAGACATATTACATGATGGTTTGGACATCTGCAGAGAAATAATGGTAAAGTTGTAAGGAAAATAAACAAGAACAAATGAGAAGCGAAGGATTACACATAGGTTACCTGCAGACTTTTCTAATGTGGCCATTCTTTTGGAGGGGAAATTCTTTGGGAAAACATCAGATAAATTAAAATATTTTCTGAGCTACAGTACTACAAATCAAGATCTCATTTAAGCTATAACTTACCAATGTATTTAAAAGCCTTGTTTAGCTTGGATAAGTTTCCCAGTACATTTTCCACCACTTGCGATGTCCAGTTGTTTACCTTGGCACTGGTGTAGGCATTGCCTCCAATCACCGTCTCTATACTTTCCTTAATGATGGTGCTTACTTCATCCACCACAAACTGGTGCTGTAATGATAACATGAACAATTATCTTCAAATTATAGGTCCTGTTAGGAAAGAGTAGAATAATTTACAAATGTTGAGAAAAAATGTAAATGTGCAGCTTTCAATATAAAAGTGCTTCTATTTAATACCTACACCCGTACTGACAGTGCATTTATTTTGTAACCTAGCTCTTATAGGTGAACAGGGAAATTTTTTACTTTCACAGATTAGGACTAAAAAAAAAATAGTTTGTGTAGTTAACATAAAAATTAAGACATTCCATTGTAAAGAAAAAAAATTACTGTCCAATATGTTGTGTAATATTTTATTTACTATTATTAATATACAGTACTGTACTGTACGTTCAAAGATTTCCCGATATATCTGAGTTTTCGTTTTATCCACTAATGAAGGTACTAGAGATTTTTTCAATCCTGACTGTAGGTTATCAGCATTTTTACCCTATACTGATGTTTGGATCATACTCCAAACATATCATAGGCCCCGTTTCCACCAATAGCCGAATGATTTTTATACCTCTTATTGCCGAGTGATTGTTGCCTAATATTACAACATTACACCATCCTAAACTTATCCATATCAACAGAGCCTAGCAAATAGAGATTCCTTTGTTGGCATGGGTATAACCAACCTTACACTATTTGCAAGAAAAAACAATCAAATCAGTGATATATCTATGAGAAAATATTGAGGCTGTATGTTGGGATCAAACCCAACCACTGAAGGTGATGTGGGTTCAATTACACAAGGCCTCAATATTCTCATTAAAATGCTGTCCACTTTAGTGGGTCACTAGGCAAGGAAAAGTAAGGGAGGGAAACAACCTCGTCTATATTAAATTTGTGCAAGAAGGTATGTAAGCTTTCTGTTTATCAATCTAAAATACCACAGTTTATTGAAGAAAAAAATTAAACAACTAGTTAAAAGAAATACGAAGATGCCTGCCTATTAATTGAGGCAACTAAGACAACTGTAACCATTCAAACTGGGATTTCCATGAACCTAAAAAGAAAATTCCCACCAAAACATTATTTTTTTCCTGGGGGGGGGGGGAAGAGGGGTGTTCCTGTTAGCAAGCCGAGTGCTTTCCCTTCCCATAGCTCATGGTAAATCTCACCCCAGGAGTTTTTCCCCCAGAACAACTCGCCAACCAATTTTTTTGCTGGATGAAGTGTGGCAAACAGTTAAGGATTGCAGCCCAGTCAATCCTCCCTGGCGATGACTTAAACCCAAACAAAATCACTGGCTAGGTATGTGTCTTCTCACTCTGCCACCAGGGACTGTGTTCAGATGAAGTTGCCCAGTTTCCAACTCACTCCAAACCATAAATAGAATAACCAAATTAAAAAAAAAATCTTAGGCCTATCCAACTTTACCAATCTTGTCCATTAGTCTAACTCTAGATAAACAAGGCTGAATAGTACAAAGTTGTAAATGAAGGGATGACCTTAGGAGCAGAGTCAACTGCTACATGGGCATTTCAACAAGGCTAATTGTAAAAATTACATGTGGGCAGGTTTTAAAACGTTTGCGAACCATCTTGGGTATTATGCTACATATACCACGAAACAGTCACTTTGTATTCACTGTGGTTTAACGATGGATTTTAAGACTTAACACTGTAAAGGTTTTGACAGAAAATGAGCCTTGTGTAAACACCTATTATACCTATTAGACAGGTGGGACACCTGTCTACAGCCTTACTACTATACTACTCGGTACAATTGCTCTCGCTCTAGACTCGCAGTCAAGAATCCCGGTTTGAATCCTGGGTGGGACATGTATGGTTAGGCACATTCCTTTCACCTAATGCTTCTGTGCACCTAGCAGCAAACGGGTACATGGGAGTTAGTCAACTGTCAACTTTCCCAGCTGCACCCTTTTAAGGGTCAATAGTGTGCCCCTGGAGAAGACCACGATACCAGCATAACGTACATACAAACACAGGCTGCCTGTCCCCCAGAAATTTAAATAAAAATTTAAATAACAATGATATTTATTAAATTTTGTCCTTGAATCAAATTGAGTAGGGAAAACAATAGAAACCACTACAGGTAAACCAAAGCTCCCAGCAATATCTTCCAGTGCCAAAGAACTAGACACTGTAAAAGATGCCTCGAGAGAGTGGTCACAAATTTGGGGTGTAGAATGTTGACCCCGAGGTAAACAATGTCATGACCAGGCCACCTGTGTGGGGCCTCAACACTCCCACCTGTACACGCCCTCGGCACCACCCCGGGCAGTCCACACCGTGGGGACCTGGCCTACCTCCTCATTTTGGGCGTTTTCGTCCATTCTGGAGCGGCGAGTAAGGTAACAGACAGCGTCCCGTGTCACTCTGGCCTGACAACTGCCGTCACCAGCGATGGTGTCCAAAATGATCCCTGGAGATGACTGTATAACGTCATGATGACGTCACATATCTCACATACGGTTAGAATAATAAAACCAGATTTATATTTTAATTTCCTTGGGTTACGATACGAAAGGTTAGCTTTGGTTAGTTTAGACAGTTAGGATAGGTTAGGTTAGGAATTAAACCGCAGTGATGACGTGAAACAACTACTTATGGGGCACTTTTTGAACCCTACTTCCTCCTGCGTCCGATTCCTCTCCCTGACTCTCCCCACCTTCCTGACACCAATATTTACGTCTTATCCTGAGGCTCCCAAGCTTAAGCACCTCCAGTCCTCTCATGTGCAACTCTCTTTACAAATCTAGCGACTAAAGAACATGGTGGGCAAATAATTAAAGTGCAATTATTAGTGATATTTTCATGTATGTAAGACAAGAATGTAAGAACACTAATGTTATGTACTCCCACTATAAGAACATAAGAATAAAGGTAACTGCAGAAGGCCTATTGGCCCATACGAGGCAGCTCCTATCTATAACCACCCAATTCCACTCATAAACATGTCCAACCCACGCTTGAAACAATCAAGGGACCCCACCACCACCACGTTACGCGGTAATTGGTTCCACAAATCAACAACCCTGTCACCGAACCAGTATTTACCCAAGTCTTTCCTAAATCTAAACTTAACCAATTTATATCCATTTTCGTGTTCTGTCTTGTGTTGATACATAAGAACATAAGAACAAAGGCAACTGCAGAAGGCCTATTGGCCCATATGAGGCAGCTCCTATTTATAACCACCCAATCCCACTCATATACATGTCCAACCCATGCATTAAACAATCGAGGGACCCCACCTCCACAATGTTACGCGGCAATTGGTTCCACAAATCAACAACCCTGTTACTGAACCAGTATTTACCCAAGTCTTTCCTAAATCTAAACTTATCCAATTTATACCCATTGTTTCGTGTTCTGTCTTATGTTGATACTTTTAATACCCTATTAATATCCCCATAAGAACATAAGAAAATAAGAACATAAGAACAAAGGCAACTGCAGAAGGCCTTTACGAGGCAGCTCCTATTTATAACCACCCAATCCCACTTATATACATAAGAACCGTATGTATACATAAGAACATCTAAGATTACTCAATACTTATAAACAAAACGCACACACCTAGCCAGTAGCACGATACCTTAATACGAATTAACTTATCTGTAAAATTACCCCAGCATGGGGTAAGGGAAGAGAGGAGTAGGAAAAGGAGAAGACAGAGCCACACAGGAGAGGTGTTGACCCAAGCATGATCCAGTTCTATGAATTAATGTATAGTAATTATTTAGAACTCAATTTGACCTCTGGTTTCCAACTAAGGAACCAAGGGTCGTAACACTTGGGTAAATACTGGTTCGGTAACAGGGTTCTTGATTTGTGAAACCAATTACCATGTAACGTGGTAGAGGTGGGGTCCCTTGATTGTTTCAAACGTGGGTTGGACATGTATATGAGTGGAAATGGGTGGTTATAGATAGGAGCTGCCTCGTATGGGCCAATAGGCCTTCTGCAGTTACCTTTGTTCTTATGTTTGCAAAATGGGAATATTTGGCTAAATTTTCTGGTAGCAGATCATTTTGAATGAAATATTTACACATCGCTGTAACATTGGTTATAGAATTGTCTCTAAATTCACGTATCTTTTCGCACTCCATCACATAGTGACGGAGGGTGTGCGAATAATAATAATAATAATAATAATAATAATAATAATTTTTATTTAGGTAAAGGTACATACATAAAGAGATTTTACAAAGTTTGTTGGCTTTATAGATAGAGCTAGTACATACAATGCCTAAAGCCACTATTACGCAAAGCGTTTCGGGCAGAAATAATTTTGTTGACACAGTTTACATTTGGTCAGGTCAACATCGGCAGATAATGAGAATTCCCAGAGATACTTGTAACCAAGTCTAAGCCGAGCAGTAGTAACATCTAGAAGTCTGCTGATTTTATTGGATGATCCATAGATGTGTGGCTCCTCTTGCATGATAGTATGATGATAGATGGAATTACTGGTGTCAATTTCACTTTGCCTCAGATCTACAAGATCTTGCTGAAGTTCTCGGTGTACTGCTGCTCTCAGATTGCTCATTGACAATCCAAGGTTACTCTCGACGTCTCCTTTAAAGGCAGATTCTTTGGCTAACTTATCAGCTCTATCATGCATTCGGAGGCCAACATGAGATGGAGACCATGCCCATGAAATGGATTCTGTTACCATCCTTAATAATTTTGTTGTATTTGTGTCTAGCTTCGGACACAAGCATGTTACAGTTATGTCTTAAAGAGTTGAGAGCATTTAAGGATGATAAAGAGTCACTTACAATTAATGTATCAAGTTTGGAGACTTGTACACATTTCAGTGCAAGGATCAAGGCAAATAGTTCGGTCTGAAGGGTAGAGGCCCAGTTGTTTATACGGACTCCTCACTCAAAGTACAAGCCATCGCCCATTGTCAGAACAACTGCACTTCCAGCTGCACCCGTGGTGCGGTGTAGGGAACCATTAGTGTATATGATTTGAGAGAGAGAATGCTCTGTAGACAGAGCATCAATATGGCTTAAGGCGTTGAGCTTTGCCTTAAGACGAAGCTTGGGCTGATCTCTAATTTGCTTTTTGGGTGGAAAGGGAGGGATTAAAACTGGAAAGGGTGTAACCTCCCACTGCAGAAGGCCGGTGCAGGAACCCGTGCTTGTGCCACCTCCACAATGTTATGTGATACTTTTAATACCCATGTCCATTCATCAATTGTTAAAATGATGTACCTTGCATACATCAGATCTTTAGTGGATTATGCTGTACCTCTGCTTGTTTTGATGCCTGAAAGAAAGCTTGGAGGGGTTGAAAAATTGCGGAAAGAAGGGGACCTTTGATTATTTGCCATGTACCAGAGTCCTGTTTCTCTTGAAACCATTATATTAACCCCTACCCGGCTACCTGCCGAAGCCGTAGCTGACAAGACTGTGTTGAGTTTTAAAATATACCTGGAAAAGATCATCAAGGCAAATGACCTACAAGCCGTCGACTCCCTGTCCTCGTCGAGGTCACTAAAGTTAATGATTCCCAGGGAAATCAGATAAAAAAATAAGGTTACCCCTAACTAACAATCAAAGAAAACGAGATAGTTTCATCAGCAGCTGAAGCGACCACTATGAATCCATTCCGTCAACAACAACTCCGGCTGGGTTTTTGGGCGGGAAGGTCGGCCATCTTGGCGCGCGGATTGAACGCTCCTGGCTGGACTTTCTTTCCACACCTTACCTGGAACTCATCTTTAATTCAGCTGGCTTCTTTGGGCCAGTGTGTGCTCACTGCAGCTACCCAGGGGCTCACAGGACCGGGGGAGGCCGGAGCCTCCCAAATGGACGCCTCCCCGAGCGGGGGCGCCATGGATGTTGACAGCAAGTCCCAGAGAGGAAAACGTCTGCTAGAAGATGAGTCGGCTGATGCTGCCCCAGAGCGAGATGCTAAGAGGATATCCTCCCCTTCAGAAGACCTTAGTCTTGTGGTACCCCGTTCCTCGTTTGTGGTAGTCCTAATCCAGTCAGAATCAGGTCAGTGCGTCTTTGCAAATCCTCGTACCTTAGGTGCAGCAATCGAGGCTTCCGTATTGTGGCCACATTGCCTGCCTGAGACCATACGTACCCTGGGTAGGGGTGCAGCACTCAAGCTACATATCAGAAAGGAGGCTCTATCACACATCTGTGTATCCGACATTAATAAGTTGGGGGACTGGCCTGTCAGGTGCCGACAGGTATTGTCGCAGGAGGAGGAGTCTCGGGCCCGGTATGGGAAGATTGGCCCAATTGACCAGAGTGTAGATGTGGATGACATCCAGGCCGCTCTGCAGGTATTAGGGGGTGCATCAGTGAGATTATTGGAAGTTACCAGGATTCGCGGAGCAGCAGGGCCGACATCCATGGTCCGTGTAAAGTTCGATGGGCACCTCCCTGACCGAGTGGCACTACACAGGACCTCGTATCAGGTTCAGCCCTACAATTTCCCTGTTTTACGATGTTACGCTTGTCATCTATTGGGCCACAGTCGCCTGACCTGCCGTAATACAGCACGGTGTGCAAACTGCGGCAAAACTGGCCATTCAGACAGAGATGACGGTGGGTGCTCTGCTGCACCCCGCTGCTTTTTATGCCATGGCCATCATAAGGTTACGTCTAAGAGTTGCCCTGTATATCTTGAGGCCCTCCAGTTGGACATCGATCACAAAACAGCGGGGACACCTCGACATGAGCTGTTCCAGAAGTTGCGTACCCTCAATCAGCCTATCGTTTCTTCTCGCCTCCAGGTTCCCCCTGGTCGGGCCTCTTCACAAGTAGGAACTAGCAGACGCTCTTGCCTGTCCCAGTCACATGCCACATACGCCCAGGTTGCTAATCGATTTTCCCTCCTGGGTAGCCTTGACACTGACGGAAACTCATCCACGGATACAGACATGGACGCTCAGTCTCGGCCGGAGCCTAGCACTCGTCACCCTCCTGCCTTTCCTCAAAGAAGCCAACACCGGCGTCGTCGACACACCCATCGATCAGGAGGTACTGCTCCAACAGACAGCCCTGATGATCCTCTGGTCCCCCAGGCACTTTCCGAAGGGATTGTGACACCGGGGGAACATGAGGCCCAGAGTGAGGCTCCCACCAGTCGCAGACGCCGTCAAGAGAGTTCGCGAGCCGACCACCGCTTCCGTCAGGCAGAGAGAAACATAGATCAACATCCTCTTGACTGGAAGTCATTGATACCACATATTTTACTTACTTTGTATGAAGGTTTTATGGCTTTTTCTAGTGGTTCCCCCTTTGGAGACGTCTGTGCACTGGTGGTCAAAAAGTTAGCTGTTGTATTTCAGGGATAATGGCGCCCCATCCTGAGAATACTGTGGTGTTTTGGAATGCCCGCTCCCTTTTTAAGAAGACGCAATTTTTACGCAATTTTATCGCCAGCGCACCACCGTTGATCGTGGGACTCTGTGAGACTTGGCTTACAGACGAT